ATCTACTTAGCACTAACGAAGCGTTTCTATATCTCCTTATTGTGTTTATTAAAAACTATATTTAAGTTATTTTCTGAATTTAAATGCTGTAGAACTAGAGTGTAGACTATTCAATGCATCAACTCTCGAGTACCAAGGTCGATAAATAGTAACATAATCGGTAAAATAGTAACCAAGATCGATAAATAGTAACATAATTGGGGGGGGGGGGGGGGGGGAGGATCAGGTACTAAGTTCTGTACGTGACGTCGACTAAGTGTAATTTTAGCATGCGCAGTACATGACAGGTGCTAATAGTCGGCAATGGGGGGGGGGGGGGGGGGGGGGGGATCAGGTACTTAGTTCTGTACGTGACGACGACTAAGTGTAATTTTAGAATTTTGTCAAAAGACCCACCCACCCCTTCGCGGTACTAACTGTTTTTTCAGATAATAATTAAGACACCCACCCCCTTTTGCCGGCTTTTGTGGTACTAACTGTTGAGAAATCACGGTACTAACTGTGTCTTGGTATATGAAATAAGATACCCACTCATAAATTGCTTTAAACAGCTCGGCAGTATCGAGATAGCCCGACCACGGTCCGCGGACCACTGTCTGCGGACCGTGGTCCGCGGACCACTGTCTACCAGATCATATTACTGTATAATAACAGTATCCCCTGAATCAAGCAACAGGTGTTTGTGAGTAGTTGATTGGTTACCACATCATATGAATGGTATGTATGGTATCTTGGATGCAATTAGTTACGACTAGCATAATTAATTGTAGCGTAGTAAATTACTGTATCTTGGATGCAATTAGTTACGACTAGCATAATTAATTGTAGCGTAGTAAATTACTGGATCAAACTATTGATTACGATTCAAATGTGGTCTCTCGGATATAATTAGTTACGAATAATATTGATTGCTCAATGAAATAAATGATTACGATTAAAATGTGGTATATAATTCGTTCGTTTTTGGTGAAGTATTATCAGTTGCCATCATCAACAACAACAACTATTCCAATTCCTGACATGGTACTCTTCTGTCTAATGGACGAAATTAATGGACCCACCGCCTCCCTAGAGAATGCTCGAGACTTCCTATTCCAGAAAAACCTCCTAAAGAGCTCCATGTCCTGTCCTGGGTGTAATGCATCTATGTCCCTGGTTCCCTGCTCGTCCTCGAAGTCTCCAGATGGACTGATATGGCGCTGTTCCCCCTGCAAGAAGTACAAGAATATTAGAACAGACAGCATCCTCTCTGGACAGAAGCTCGCTCTCAAGACCTTCATACAACTGCTGTTCTGTTTGAGTATAAAAGGACTAGCTGGCATTGCGGTATCACAGATGACTGGACTTTCTGAAAACGCGGTGTCTGACTGGAAGATATTCATCCACACTCGAATCGCTGATTGGCTGCTTGCAAACCCTTGTCCTCTTGGTGGTCCTGGAGTAATTGTCGAATTAGACGAAGCTAAGTTCGGAAAGAGAAAATACAACAAAGGTGGATACAGAGAGGGTATGTGGGTACTTGGTGGAGTTGACCGAAACACAGGACAATGCTTCCTCCTCCCTTGTCCGAACAACAAACGTGGAGCAACTACTCTCCTCCCTCTCATCCGGCGGTGGATTCTTCCTGGGTCTATCATCTACACAGACGAGTGGGGAGCTTACAACACGCTAACAGCGGAGGGGTACACGCATGGTACAGTCAACCACACATACATGTTCCCTTAACAGGAATTCACACCAACACGCAGGAAGGCCTCTAGTATCACGTCAAGAAGTCGGTGTTAGGGACTAGAAACTTGGAGCTGTCATTGATTGATTTCATGTTTAAGCGTCGGTTTAATGCCACAGGAGGACCAGATCAGATTGTAAATTGTTTCAATGCTTACATTTCCGTTTTGACTGTGTGAAGATAATTTATTGTATTCGTATTTAACAAGTTTGTTTTCAATAAATGAATAGTAGTTATTAGATTTTAATAATAAGTTTAACTAAACATACAAGTAATTTACTAATATATACATTTTATAAAAATCGGTCAATTTACTAATTTACTAAAATCGGTCAGGTAGGATCTTCTTGTCTGCTCTCAACTGTTGTGCAGCCCGGCCGTATTCTCTTTCTTCTTCGGAGAGGCAAAGTTTGCACTCGGAGGACAGCTTGGCTGTATCTGCGAACTGTTGTTGTAGGTAGTAGTAGTGGGATGGGTCAATGATCTTCATCTCCGCCATATAGCGGAGATGTGATCTTTGTGATCCTTGGGCTAGTGAAGGGTTCAGCGTTGTCTCTATCTATCGTGTCTTGAGGAGTTGGTGGAATGGAGTCCGGGAGTTGATGCTCAGGACAAAGCTTTGTTATCTTTTTTGTAGTAGAATGTAGGATCCCATCGAGGACTGAAGATTCTCGGTGGACATTCATAACAACGCAGTTGTTACATTTGGAGCGGACACGAGGAGCATGAGCAGAGGAGTTAGCAAGACCTCCGGCATCAGAAGATGCTACAGGGTCATGAGCAGCGCATGATATACCAGCATGCCTCTTGTTGCAGAAAACGCAGAAGCTTGGGTTGGCTCTGGAGACGATGAGGGTTTTACCAGCTTGAGTCCACTTGTCGAGAGGTGAGATAGGTTTGCAGATAGGGTCGCAGGGTAGGGCTGAGTTCATCCGTTTCGTTTTCTCTGAGACCATAGTTGTAGTTGTTCAAGAAGGAGTTGATGATAGAAATGATTGATGCAGTCTGATAATAGTTATTCTTTATATATTGCATGATGTGAACTGATCTCGTAAGGTTGCTTAATCGTTTAATAAGCCTTGACACCACCGCTGATTGGAATTCGCGTGCGATGATGTGAACCCTGCTTGACTCAGGGGATGATGTGAACCCTGCTTGACTCAGGGGATGATGTGAACCCTGCTTGATTCAGGGGATACTGTTATTATACAGTAATATGACAGTGGTCCGCGGACCACGGTCCGCAGACAGTGGTCCGCGGACCATGGTCCGCGGACCGTGGTCGGGCTATCTCGATACTGCCAACAGCTCATTAAACATTGGGAAATGGACAAATTATAACCACTATTTAGTAATGGTTTTGTTTTCAATGTAGTCGAATTAGATAAAAAGTTACAAAAACTGAAAAACAGGAAAAAATTCAAAAAACCCAAAAAGAAACTAAAAAAACCATTAAAACCCAAAAAACCATTCCCAAAATTAAAATTTGAGGTAAAATGGGTTTTTTTGGGGTTGGACACCCCCCTTAGTACCATGTACTAACTACTAACTGTTTTTCTGGGAAATGTACCATGTACTAACTGTGTTTTGGAAGAAAATATGACCCCCCCCCAACGTACGGTTCTAAGGGTATGATCCCCCGACATAATTATAGATCTATAAATTCCTCTCCCTAGTCAGCCTAGTGCCTCTGCTCGGGAAAATCTGGAGAATGTCAACTTAAACTGTAGAAATTCTGGTACACTTCATCATTCATGGTGAAGAAAGAAATAAGTTGAAGAGTTATTTAGAAAAGGAGTGCTTTATCGAACCCAGAATAGAAAGTATGGTCAGCCGTCTGAAGACTGAGAAACCATACAAATTTAGATACTTATGTTTCCCTGAGTTCAATAACCTGAGCTGTAAGTACTGAGAAGGCAGTGACAAAACCTTAGAACCCACTAAAAAAAGTACAGTTTGAGGTGTTGGTAAAAGATCTCAACTCTCCAGTATGCTTTGTAAATCTAATATACGTGATGAACTGAGGAGTATGTAGACAACTTCTCATGTAAACAAGCATTGATTCCAGGGATAATATCCGGTAGTAGAGACTAGGTAGGACAAGTGAAACTACTGTTTAGGAGGAAACGCAAGTTTCACTTGTCAGGTACCTAGTTTTTACTAAGTACTACCGGATATTATCCCTGGAATCATTATCTGATCATGAGACTGATAAACAGCGAACCTCTCCAGGATCTCATAAACAAGCAGTCTTAGTAAAAACTTGTTATGTGTAATGTATATATGATATTACTGTTAGTATGTTGTATTACTTTTGTAATATTATGAGCCTGAGAACTTGAAATAAGTTATTTATGGCACAAATAAAGCTAAGTGCTACGTAACGCCTAGTAACGCCTAGTAACTACTATACACGTTACTAATTTGAGGTGCACCGTGCAGCAATATGTCTTCTGACAGCGCACCAAGGAGCCAGTGTGTTGTTAGTGAACACCAGGCATTATTATATACTAGAAACCCGCTAGTCGAAAGCTTTGTTCGAGGAAATTTTAAAAATCAGTTATGTTTTAATTTCTCTTCATCATATAGCTCTGTTATACTGTAGACATAATGGAATTTATTTAACAATGGCGACAGCGTTGTTAGTATTCGGATTCCCAAAACGATACTTTTTACCGCATCAAAAAATACCAATCACAACCAAAGTTATGAATATAAGTCATAGCGTGAGCGTAAATGTGAGCTAGTTTTGAAATTATGACGTAGCTTACAGCATAACAACGCGCGTTGTTAATCTGTGGTTGCTCGCGCACGTGCATTTTTATCGTTGCTACGCAACAGCGCAATAAACCTTTGCTAAAATAACACCATTTTTCTAACGGTTATTTTACCTCACTTCCGACGTTAATTATGAAAAATCTAAAGCCTAAATCAAAATTCTAAGAATGCTATAGCCTATTCCTATCCTTTTTCTACAACCCTGCTAAAAATGGCGAGGTTTCAACTCCATTTGCGAGCTGGGTTTGGCATCACCAGAGGGTCATTTTGAGGTCGATTTTCGGTGTTTTTTCTTCTATGTCCCCGTTGCCGGGGAAATTTCGTCAAGTTTAAATTATAGTATAGATAATATATGTTTAAGTTGATTAAAATGAGTGTATCAAATTAAAATGGAGAAACGTTATACATAATATATGTATATAGTGTATATTATATATTGTATAATATAATACATCAAATTATATCAAATTATTACACATATAATAGTACTGACCTCGTCCGTGTCGGGGAAGGAGGCGTCGTCAGTTGAGTCCAGAAGATTCTCAGTACTGCTCAGGTCGCTGGAAACATTGCTCAAGTCACTGCGAGCCATCAGGTACTCCTGAACCAGAATTGATTCGTTAAAGTCGATCATTTACGAGGGGATGAAATAATTTCCTCTTTAAGTACTAAGTAATCACTGAGAAGGGTTTCTAAGTTGTCTGTATATTTAATATATTATAGTATTTAGTATATTTGATACAAGAAAAACGTCATTCTTGGCCACAAGGAGGATTTGTACTGGTTTGAACACCTCGAATAATCATTTTGAACTTACCTGACTATCAAATTCGTCACACTTAGAGGGTTCACTAAAGGCACGTACGATGCGCGTGTGAGAATCATCACTGGCTACATACTCACTACCCTCGCCAGGGAACCGGGGAGTCACTAATCTCGTCTTCTTGCTTATCTGTGCAAATAGTAAACTTGTTTATAGCACACTAATCTCGTCTTCTTGCTTATCTGTGCAAATAGTAAACTTGTTTATAACACACTAATCTCGTCTTCTTGCTTATCTGTGCAAATAGTAAACTTGATTATAACACACTAATCTCGTCTTCTTGCTTATCTGTGCAAATAGTAAACTTGTTTATAACACACTAATCTCGTCTTCTTGCTTATCTGTGCAAATAGTAAACTTGTTTATAACACACTAATCTCGTCTTCTTGCTTATCTGTGCAAATAGTAAACTTGTTTATAACACACTAATCTCGTCTTCTTGCTTATCTGTGCAAATAGTAAACTTGTTTATAACACACTAATCTCGTCTTCTTGCTTATCTGTGCAAATAGTAAACTTGATTATAACACACTGGTAATCTCGTCTTCTTGCTTATCTGTGCAAATAGTAAACTTGTTTATAACACACTAATCTCGTCTTCTTGCTTATCTGTGCAAATAGTAAACTTGTTTATAACACACTAATCTCGTCTTCTTGCTTATCTGTGCAAATAGTAAACTTGTTTATAACACACTAATCTCGTCTTCTTGCTTATCTGTGCAAATAGTAAACTTGTTTATAACACACTGGTAATCTCGTCTTCTTGCTTATCTGTGCAAATAGTAAACTTGTTTATAACACACTAATCTCGTCTTCTTGCTTATCTGTGCAAATAGTAAACTTGTTTATAACACACTAATCTCGTCTTCTTGCTTATCTGTGCAAATAGTAAACTTGTTTCAACTTGTTTATAACACACTGGTATGAATGTATGGTATCTGTTCAGGGTTTATGATTTGTTTTTAGTAAAATAGGCACTGTTGCTGGTCAAAAGCAGCTTTTTATCATAAAGATCACACAATAAATTGGATTTAGAAACTCCTAGTTGTCAACAGCTCATGATAGCTGTCACAAAGTCAAGGTGAAGGTGCTCTATTATATATAGCCTATATAACCTTTGATGTGGCAACGCATTGAAAGGTCTTACAACTTTCGGAGATTTATGTTATGGTAAAAAGTCTTGGCTTTTACGGCTAACATTCGTCAGTCACTCTACTTAAATCTGTTAATTAGATTTACTTCCAATTAAGAATCCCATAAAATGTCTAATTTAAGATGTGAGTATCTCTAAACTTCTAACTTAAGGGGGGGGTTCACCCTGAATTTTTTGTGAAACTTGGTTTCGAGATAGCAGTTGACCAACAAACTAGGACCGGTGACCGAACTTTTGAGGGGGTCCCGGACCCCAACCGCCAAACGGTGCCCGCGGGGCAGCCACGCCCATATTTGGTCCAAATCAGGCCCAATTTAGCCAAATACCCTGAACATGCCCAAAACCCAGGTTTTAGGTGCTCTACTTGTAGCTAGTGGTCCCCTGAACTCGTATATGAATTTTAATCAAGATTGGACAACAAATGACTGAGTTATGAGCTAAAAACTATATGCCCATATTTGGGCATACGCACTAAATTTGATCGATTTTGGCCCATAAATAGGTCAAATATCAATATTTTTGAATGAAACCAACTTAATATGAAAGGTAAGCCTAAACTACACATTCTCTATGATTATCAGCTCAATATCTACCTAACTGTGGATTCTGTATTCAAATAATCGCAAAAAATGAACAAAATCGCCCATATCTCAGTTCGCGATATTTGCAAAACTGACTTCGCTCAAAACAATAGAACTCAATAGGGTTTCAATATTTTTTCATGAAATTTTCAGAATCAACGTAGAATCGCCTCATGACCTTAAGTTTTGTATTAGAATTTTGAGTTAGGCCTTCAAAAAAATTTGGCGGCCAAATTCTGAAATTTGCCGGGCATTTTTCAGAATTTGGCCGCCAAATTTTTTTAAAGGCCTAACTCAAAATTCTAATACAAAACTTAAGGTCATGAGGCGATTCTACGTCGATTTTGAAAATTTCATAAAAACATATTGAAACCCTATTGAGTTCTATTGTTTTGAGCGAAGACAGTTTTGCAAATATCGCGAACTGAGATATGGGCGATTTGGTTCTTTTTTTGCAACTATTTGAACACAGAATCCACAGTTAGGTAGATATTGAGCTGATAATCATAGAGAATGTGTAGTATAGGCTTACCTTCCATATAAAGTTGGTTTCATTCAAAAATATTGATATTTGACCAATTTATGGGCCAAAATCGATCAAATTTGGTGCGTATGCCCAAATATGGTCATATGGTTTTTGGCTCATAACTCAGTCATTTTTTGTCCAATCTTGATGAAAATTCATATACGAGTTTAGGGGACCAATAGCTACAAGTACAGCACCTAAAATCTGGGTTTTGGGCATGTTCAGGGTATTTGGCTAAATTGGGCCTAATTTGGACCAAATATGGGCGTGGCTGCCCCGCGGGCACCGTTTGGCGGTTGGGGTCCGGGACCCCCTCAAAAGTTTGGTCACCGGTGTTAGTTGGTTGGTCAACTGCTATCTCGAAACTAAGTTTCACAAAAAAATCAGGGTGAACCCCCCCCCCCCCCCCCCCTTAAGACGTTAACAGTACCTCTAAAACATTAGGTTCAGAAGCTGTTTTTCCAGCGTAACCTCTCCCAAGTTTACTAGCTTTCCTCCGGCTTCTCTTCTCCAAACAGCTCTGTATGTAATCCAGGTAATCCTCGTCTTGGGTGAACAGTTTGATACTGTCACGTGTCTTAATGGGTAGCACGTCAGACATTGAGGCTACTTTGGGGTTCTCACGGTAACGCGCATATTCTGACTCCTCATCTGATATCTGCAGGTGTCAGGTGTTAGACCAGTTAATTTAGGTGTTACTTGTTAGGTGTTAATCGTTCAATCCTTAAATATGAACGGATTGTTATCAATAAGTAGCATATAACTTTAGCAAAGATATTATCCAATAATAAACGATATGTTGACGATTTATCTATTATTAACTACCTTTACTTTCATAAATTGATTAAAGATATTTATCCTAATTCATTGGAGATGGAGCGAGCTGGTTCCAATAATAAAATCATTAACTACCTTGATTTAAATATTAATATTTCCACAGAAGGACTAGAAATATCAGTGTATAACAAAACTGATGATTTTAATTTTCATGTTGTATCCCTTACATTTCCTCACAGTAACATCCCAACCGAGGTTGGCTACAACGTTTTTTCAAGTCAAGTTCTTAGATATGGTAATGTTTGCACTAGATTGGATATCTTTACCTCCCATCTTCACAAAATATTCAAAATTCTAATTGATAGAGGATATAGCCGTGATAGACTGAATAAAGGCATTAAACGTTGTCTGAGGAAATATGATAACGTTTTCAGGAAGTTCGGTATTCTAGATGACCGTAACATTATTAAAGAACTCCCTGATATCTTTTGATTTATGGAAACACGGGTACTAACTCTGCTAAACTGAACAAATTCTGAAACTTAGGTGAATAAGTGTACAACGTGCTAAACCGAAGTTCAGACTGACCAGTGAAAATGGGCGAGCGTACCAAGTGTCATTTTAATTAGAAGTTTTAGTCAGTGATTTATTATTGAAGCTTGTAATTACAATATCTAATGCTCCTATAAATACTTTAATTAATTGTATGTCCCGTTTTTCTTTTTCCTTCCTCTTTTCCTTGTCATCCCCTTTAGTTTTAAGATTCTTGCTATAAATGGCTACAGCTAACACTATTAATGCTAAGTACCAAACAACAAGTGGGAGGTGGATCGTTGGTATACCATTAAATCGATTTAACACCGCAATTCCAGTCGCAAGCCTGGGACCACTACTAGCATTGTCACAACATCTACAAAGCTGCCATATAGCCTGACTGACAATATTCTCGACTGACTGACAATGTTTCTTCTTTTCCCCATTTAGAATACAAAGATTAGTACATTTTAGCAGTGATTTATTATTGAAGCTTGTAATTACAATAACTAATGCTCCTGTAAATACTTTAATTAATTGTTTGTTCCGTTATTCTTTTTCCTTCCTCTTTTCCTTGTCATCCCCTTTAGTTTTAAGATTCTTGCTATAAATGGCTACAGCTAACACTATTAATGCTAAGTACCAAACAACAAGTGGGAGGTGGATCGTTGGTATACCATTAAATCGATTTAACACCGCAATTCCAGTCGCAAGCCTGGGACCACTACTAGCATAGTCACAACATCTACAAAGCTGCCATATAGCCTGACTGACAATTTTCTCGACTGACTGACAATGTTGCTTCTTTTTCCCCATTTAGAATACAAAGATTAGTACATTTTAGCTTATGATTAATATTATATTTTTACCTATAGTTTACCTAGATTTGGTTTTAAGTATAATCAGATTATTGTCGATTATTTTCCATTGACTGTAGCTGTCCACTGCACCATATTAAGTAATACTCGAAACAATTTAATCTCCAAATGTCAGCTTGCATCAAATAATTTGCGCTTCAGACATTACTCCACAAGTTTCATTAATAGTGGCCAGATGATGGTAATACAGGTACACTGCGTGACATGCTAGGTGTTATTTTGTAAGTTTTAGCTTTTCTGAAACGGCTTTTTAATGGCCATAAACAGTGCTAACTATAGTTAGTTATTAACGTTAGTTACTAGCTCTAATTAAACTTAAGTTAGGACCGTTTATGGCCGTTGAAACGCTTGATAGATTTATTTGTGACATTACATAACAGTGGATCAATCAGACACTTGTCAAGTTTATCTTCCAAGGAAATGATTCGTCGCAGCTCAATACAGAGTAATACAGAGTAATCCAACTACGGACCTAATCCACACTGGAGTCCACGAGTATTGATCTGGAGAGGCTCGAGTAGACCCCACTGCAATGGACCACGGCCCTTCAAACGTTGCTCTCCAAACTGTGAGCTTTAAGTGTAATTTTAGTCTATTAGTGGCCAGATTTTGGCAGCCGAGATAAACCTTGACTGAATTGCAAATTGTGTGAACGTGGTCCATTATATATCCTCGTAACACCAAGGGGTTGTGTAACTCTAGATTACAATATCTTGTAGAATACCAATGGTTCTATGATATAAAACATGTCCCTTTTCAATCAGATACACAACAGCTGGTTAAGGGGGCCGGGGGGGGGGGTCTTCATCAACAGCTGGTTAAGGCTGACTTTTCGTCCAATATCATTACTGAATTGTGCAACAATAATTGATGCAATATCACTTATGAGATTACACCGGTCTGATAAAGTTATAAAATAAATACACTATTACAGTGACTATTAGAATGACGTAATGAACTCACGATAAAAGCAGATGGATTCTCAATAAGGAGTTGGGTGATCATGCTGTGATGGTTGATGTGCACGATACTAGCCGAGGAGTGCTCGTGTTTCGGTCTGATCAGGGTAGGTCCGAACACTATACCCAGGTTAACTGACGTCATCTGATTCAGCCCCTGAGAAAAACAGTGTAAAGTGTACATGAGACCTATTTTTAACGAAACCTTCAATGAATGTGTCAGACTTTAAATCAATTGAACTTGAATTTTTAAAACGTTCCCCTGAAATATCCCGGAAGTATAGAATTTCCGAAATTCAGCCAAACCTCATTAAGACTAATTCTGTTTAGATGTTCAACAATAAAACGCAGTGTGAATCTGTTAGCTTTGGGAAGCTTCTCCAGGATTGCATGCAGTTGTTTTAGCAGGGTCTGCAGATCAGCTCCGTTCTCTTGCTGGTTCAAAGCAATCCTTATCAGGTCCTCGTAGTTGGAATGCAGTAGAAGTGGTTCTGGTAGCTGAAATAAGAAAATTATCGGTGTTAAAACATGAACCGTTTAAACTAATCTAATTTAAAGGATGACGTTAAACCAGCTGCTTCGAAGTTTCTAGATCCAAATTTAGCTGTCTAGAACACATAACAACGATCTGCTAGTATACGAAAATCATGCCAAGATTTTATCAGTAAATTTAATCAAATCAAATTTATCAAACCTGTCGGAGGTAAAGTTTCAAGACAGATGAAACCAAGTGAGGCGACTTGTCGTTCAACTCGACCAGATCCAACCCGTTCTCGAAGCTTCTGCACAAACTCTGCATCTTGCTCTTAGCCCCGGCTACACGGTATATTCCCTGAATATAGAGATTAGCGAGCTGGAGTATTATCAAGGGAATTACCAATTATTGGTAAATTTAATAGACACCAGCAGTTACGATTCGGATCATCGGGTTACAAAATATGGTGGGTCATTTGCATTAGCCGTTGTGAGGTTGTTATTTACTGACTAAATAACAATCACAATTAAGAAAGAAAAAAATATAAAATTTTGTAACAACAATGATTGAACTGACCTTGATATCCATTCCAGTGGTTTCAATGTGTTTTACACATTTGAAAACCACGTAAGGAATTGTGCAGTGTGTTGCACACAAATGTGTGGAGAAATCAACCCCGAATGTTGGGACCTGTAATATTCAGTTACTTTTTTATCTACGTAAGCTATTTATTTATATTGTTTATACTGTTTATGGGCAATTAAAAGTCTTGCCCTCCCAAATAATGCAAATCGTTTGTTTGTGACCGTTTCTTAAAGGAGTATTATAGTAGTAAGATCTGTATTATAACAAACCAAAGTTTCCCCAAATGGTCATGGTTGGTCACTGGTCAGTACTAATTGCCAGTACTAAATGTGTCTATCATCATTATATATTTAACCACGACTTTTTTAATCTGTCTTAATCATTTTTAAAACGACTGGTCCTTCTGACTTTGCTAAGCAGGGGATAGCAGATGGCACATAGTACCTCAAATGATGGTAGTGGTCAGAACTAGCTGGGATTAACATTCCTGATTAGAAGCAGGATCATGAAGCAATCGTTTAAATATTGAACTTATGAAGATCAGCAGCATTATTATATCATATAAAATTAAACTTATAATACCTTATGGGGCAATGGGTGGCCACCACATTTGATAGACAAACTCTTTAAACACTTCCTATGGCACACGATACCGCATTTCTGACATTCGCTGCCTTTTAAATAAACGTAATTTTCACAGGCTCTGCAGCGTACAGGTGCTCTGCTCCTTCGAAATAGATGAGTGCTGAGAACATCTGGTATCACATCCTTTGACATACAGCACTGAACTAGGATATCGTGTTCAAAGTGTTATTTATCGCAAATATAATTTAATATCTCATATAAAACCAGACTGGTAAAATGCAATTATATTCAAAACGTCTGAGTTCCTCTTAAACTGATTAAAAGTTAAAAGTCATTATTAAAATATCACCAGCTGCGACAAATACTGCTCTTAGTTGTATAGAAAATGTTTAATAACCCTGGTGGGAGAGTGATAGCTGAAGGGGGGGGGGGGGGGGGGGGGGGGGGGGGGGAGGGGGGCAGGTAAAAGAGTCTGTTGTTGATACTGTCACCTTTTTGAGTGACTGTTATGAGTTACAACAAAATTCCAGTGAAAAATTGACTGATTAACGATTAACACATGATAATCATGCCGTACAGGGCTAAAAATAATTGAGTTTGAGATTTGCAAGGCATTATTGTCAATTGAAGGGCTGGCCCCAAAAATTGCTGTTTCTGTTGACCTGATAATTTGGTTGCCTAAAGCTACTAGGAGCCACTTAAACCTGTAAAGATGAAATAAAATGAGATCAATCATAATGACATAAACAATATTATATGTCTACTGTCTAGTGGGGAGGCGGATTCTGGTTGTGAAGTACTGTACTGTGAATGTACTGTGAACGTACCATTGAAATGAAATGAGGTATTTATATCCCGCTCATATGATTAACCAACAACACAAGGAAGGTGGTTAACCATGTCAGAGCGGCTGACTGTGAGTATAACTCCATTATAAGGCAAAGACAAAATTAAAACATCTTTTATTGTAAACCACACTAAACTAAGTAGAAGCAGAAACCATTATACAATACATGTAGGTATAATGAAGGTAAGTAAAGTGACATAATCAACCAAAATGAAACAGATCCTAGAAAGGTTAAGATCAAGACATAAAATGGAGTGCGGTAAAAAATGAAAGCCAAAGTGTCTTGTAAAGTGAAGACAAATGGAAAGAAATAACATCAAAACTGATTATATAAATGGTTCTTTAACATTCGCTTGAAACAGTTGGTATCATTAATACATCTCAACAACAGTGGAAGAGAGTTCCATGCATGGCCTGAGAAACATCTGTCATCAACTTTGGACTTTTTATTCTTTGGTATCTTAAGGGGACATACACCAAAACCTTTTTTGCCGGGACCCGGGATTTGACTTCATATTATGAAAGTATAGATTACAACTGTAAGGTTTGAGGCATTGAAAATTTTTTTTGAGAGTACGCACATTCGAAAAAAAAATTATTTTCTTTTTCGAAAGTTTTGGAAATTTTGAGAAGTCTGTCACTGTAATACCGATATTTCAGTCATTTTAAACGTTTTTTGGCTGATTTTTTAACTGAACATTATTTACAATCCGCACAAGAATCTAAAAGATTCGTCTTCTCAAGCTGATTACGATTCTGTAAAAATTATTTCAAAAAAACTGATAATTTTTGAGTTATAGGCATTTTAAGCCTTAAATCTGCCAAGTTTGGCCCATTTTTACGATGAATTTTACTAAGTCGTTTGAGGCCACATTTCATACCTAACTCAAAATTGAGATAAATCCTGTTCCAAAAAGTTGGATATAATCATCAGCTACACTCACAAGAATTTTTGAAGCGATATCTTATGACCTGGGTGAATGGTAAAATATACAACTTTGATTTTTACAAAAATTTCAATTTTGCTTCTTTCGACCTTGTTTGGTCTGTAACTTCGTCATCTATATTTTAATTATAAAATCCTTTAAAAGGGCTTCTTGTGCGGATTGTAAATAATGTTCAGTTAAAAAATCAGCCAAAAAACGTTTAAAATGACTGAAATATCGGTATTACAGTGACAGACTTCTCAAAATTTCCAAAACTTTCGAAAAAGAAAATAATTTTTTTTCCGAATGTGCGTACTCTCAAAAAAATTTTTCAATGCCTCAAATCATACAGTTGTAATCTATACTTTCATAATATGAAGTCAAATCCCGGGTCCCGGCAAAAAAGGTTTTGGTGTATGTCCCCTTAAGCATGAGATGGTCACCCGGTCTCTTTGACCTGGTCAGTGTTTGAAAATTCTGTATCCACTACATTAGGGACTACGGGTGGAAGATGAATAATTGATATTCCAACAGCATCTTGTTCCCTGCATTGTGCTGATTCCGGGAAGCATTTTGTTTACGCTCTCATCATTCTGTAGGATGAGATATCGTTCATTTAAAATTGGGTAATTATAGGCCTGTCAAGGATTTCAGCCTAATTAAGAGCTGATCAATTGCAGCTAGTTGTGCCATATAAGGGATAACTGAGGTCACGTGACATTCAGTCCTATCACGTGACCGCTAATCCTATCACGTGACCTTGATTCGTAAAGCCTCGGGCACGTGATCACATTCGTAACGTGTCGTATGCCGACTAGGAGATTTTGTGACGTCACCAGAGCTGAAGCTACTTGATCAGGCCTTATATGGAATAATATCGTGTATCGGGTGTAATTGGACCCAATTAGAGCAGCTGAGCGCTCAATTATAGCAGCATTGCATCTGGTACCACCTTCTGAAACCCAGCAGACAGCTGGCCCAGAGAATCGAAATTAGAAGGATTTTTTATTGATGGAAATCGAAGCGGAAACCTTGTAACCCTATGTTTTCGATGACGCCGAACAAGATTAAACAGGTTATAATTGTCCTACTCTCGTGTAAATTGCTCTAAAACGTGATTGAAATTGTAATGATGCTATCAATTGTAATACAGTTTTTACATTAAGCTGAACGGCTGGCATTCCTGGACCGCACTCATCCCAGATTGTCATTCCGCCGCAGCTTCAATTTTTCTGAATATTACAGCCTGGGGTCCCCAGGTAACGACTGGAACCACTATATCTGCCTAATCTCAGTTATTGTCAATAACGAAGCCTGTGATCCGCACATCAGTCATTGAATGGGCTTGAATTGAACGTCGTGTTATTACTATAAAAAATATCATAGTATCGGGTAAATTTTTTCAAAATGCACTTGAATGTCATCAATTTGATTAAGTTATCATAAGTTGAATAGCTGGCGCATTTACAGTGCTACGTTTTCAATTATTCTACGAACACTTGGAATTAAAATCTATTTATATATATATTGCATTGTTTAATACTTATAATCAAGATTGCTAAGTTCAGTGTGTGGACGAAGTATAGCGATGGTATCACTAACATATTTATGACTGTTTGATATTTCTTCGCTGCAGTCTGCATATCATCCAGAGAAAGCTAATTTTAAAGAAGTAGTCTCGAAATTTTCGGGAATAAACTCAATATTGTGAAACATCATACAAAATATTATATAACGAGTGTTCTCTTTTAATAAATCATTTCATTAGTTTTTTGAACTTCCTCTGTTTTCCTGGATTTTGTTGCCTCTCCTCAGAGACAACAATGTGGTGTCCTGCTTTCATGTCTTTGTTAGCACACTTCAGCTTTGATTCTGTCATCAGTGCCACCGCTCTTTCGACTGCTTGCTGGTGGCAGGGATATTTCGTCACCAAAGGTGATTCTATGAACCTGTCGAATTGATCAGGATCAGAGGGATGCACCCTTACTACCGATGGAATAGTGACTGCAGCCCACTTCAGCTCTTCTGAAATATAACTTGTTATCATAAACTTTCCTTTTTAAATTCAATACCATCCGTATTGTTTTCACTTTGACCTTATGGTCAAGTTCGGAGACAACCTGTACATTTTTTACTTTTTTTGAAGTGTGTGGTGCAGCCAGCTCAACACAGAATGAAACTCCCTGATTATATGGCTGACAAGACATTTTTCAGGACTTTCTCTGAGTAAAAAAATAAAATTAAAAGGTTGAACGGTTGAGCAGATACAGGTGGTATTAAACAAATCCTTTAAAGGTGGAGATTTAAGGTGGAGACTGGCTCTAGTTGAAGAATCTTTTGATTAAGGTGGAAAAGGTTATTGGTAACACAAACTTCATCAAATTTGCAATCTGATGGTTTTATCAATATTTTATTTAAGTGCTCAACCGAGGTGGAGAAATTAAATGCACTTTTCAAAGCTGCTCAACCGGGGTTGGAGAAAGGTTTAGAGAGTTCTAGGTTAGCTAGAAAGTTGCGTCTCGGCCTTTTCTACTTCCCGTTAAATTTTGTTTTTTCCATTGACGCTCAACAGGGTGGAGATCTTTCATTAAGAAACAGTAAAAAGCCTGTCAAACATGCCTAAATTCATTGGTTTTATCACTAATTCTAATCTGCTCTGTTAACTGCTACTGTAGGGGATCGTAAAACTGTTACCCCTTCTGTCTTAAAGCAAAGTGTTCTAGCAAATGAAAAAACTATCAAAGTTGTGAAAAGGTACTCAACAAGGTGGAGAAATTGTTGATTAAACATTAAAACATTAAAAAATGCATAAAAACTGGCCCCACCGGGTTGAGTTGAGCTTTGGCAGTTGATTTCTGGAAGAAATAACATTGGGTGACCCTTTAGCATGTATACAACTCATCAAACTAGCCATCAACCACTCAACCGCGGTGGAGAACCTTTACTTCTGAGGTCGAATTTACGCCCGAATTTGCCAAATTTGAGTCTCCACCTATGTTGAGTGTACTTTTCAGCAAGGATGCCTTGTAATATGAGTTGGTAGATGATTTAGAATCATTGGTATTGCAAATGGACTGCCACAGTCACTCTACAGCTCTTAAACTACAGAATAACAGATTTTGAACTGCATGTTATGCTGTCTCCACCTTGGTTGAGCAGATTCTGAGGATCCTTTTCTATGAAATATGATTGGTATATCCCATAATATTAAATATTAGGACTTTAGAGCAATTAAAAAGCATGAGAGGGTTAGTTCTAGTCACTTATATTAGCTCATGTAGTCAGTGAGCTGCTCCACCTGTGTTGAGCAGACAAATCTGCTCAACCGGCACTTTTTGAGTACCCACCTGTCTTACGTAACTTTAAATTGTGAAATTTGGAGTAAATATTATTTTCATAAGTGATTTACAGCCCCTTTATTTTTGT